TCACAGATACATGGAGGTGGTCAAACATGTGCTCCATAAATGAAAGAAAAAGTGTAGCGGTGTCGTACAATTTCCACTGATCAATAACATTATGAATGGGCCATGGGTCTGCAAGTGCAACAAAGGCAGTTCAATGAACTGAAGTGTGATCAAGACACTGAGATGCCCAACTGACCATAAGAGCTAAGATTGATTTTTATTCCTTATTATGGGCAGGTGTAACATCTTGCTGCTTAACTGATGACGACGACATTCAATTTCTGTGCGCAAAATGTCATTTGATATTCTCTAATCAAATTTGTTTACGGCAGTGATCAAGTAAGGAAGCAAAATTAGTAAACCTTCTACATGTATCTTACAATGTAGTTGTAGGAACATGGTTAAAAAAAACAATTTAATCTAAAAATGGACACTATATGCTATAATTGTCAAATTTGTCAAAACATGCTGACAAAGTTAACAGTTCTTATTTTTAAAATAGCAACCAAAGAGAGACTCACAACTTGTGCTGTAAAATTGAGTGGAATTTGGTTACTATATACTTGTAAGAACACATGTGCAACTCATATTACAAATGTAGTTTGTCTGCTTACAATGTAGCAAAACACAATAGCTGCTTATGTGCTTTTGCTTCAGTATGCTGCGCTGCACATGTTCAAAAAGCATTCAAGCACATGGCCATATTCAAATCAGCTTTTTGTTCGTGATAGTTCACATGCTACAGAGAAAGTTCGTCACCGTAGACAGAAATGCCAGTTTCAGAGACAGCCTAAGCTGTTTTGGGCCGTGCTGATCCATGCAGCTAGGCAGGAATTAAAGGATTTTTTTGTTTCAGTATGTACGTCTGGTAAGCTCAATATCCCATTTTAACTGGAATCTGATTGATTCAGCTAGTTTGGCTTCAATTTCACATTCATATAAAGCAAAACAAAAAGAGGGAAAAAAAGAAATGACATGCAAGGTTTTAAGTGAGGGGTACTGATCAGAAACTGGTGACATTTCGAGCCGCATTAACACGGTTCAGTGGAAATTGGCAAAGTCTTAATAGTTAAACAGGATTTATTCCAGTGATTGAAGCCCTCAGCCTTGTAAACTTCTACAATATCAGACAACCGCCAAGCTAGAATCTAATCATGAGACGGGGTGAATTTCTACCCCTGTTTGCATTGCCCTGAGTGAAGTCCATTAAAAACTGTAAGCGAGACCCTGTGCGTGAAATGTGACCTACCCTAAGCCAATATTTCCCGTTCTTTATGAGGTTTTGAGTTCTCGGGTTCATGTTTGAGAGGCGTATCAGTTGACTGGTGCACAGATTGATACCAGTGCATTTGGTCCAGTTACTTTGACTGCACTGCCCATTTCAAATGACTAGTAACTTATTATACATGTGCGGGGGAGTGTGGCCTAGTGGTTAGGGTCAGAGGGTCAGAGGTTCGAATCCAGCTGCTGGTCATATGCTGTGTGTCCTTGGGCAAGCCACTTCACCCCCACTTGCCTCTCTCCACCCAGGAGTATAAATGGGTACCGGCATTAGCTGGGGAGTTACCTGCGATGGACTGGCATCCCATCCAGGGGGAATAGAAATATTCTCAGTTGTTTCATGCTACTGAAAGCAGAGATAAACGCCAGCCTGATGGGCCACACTGGATCGTAACAGACTTTTCTTCTTTTTTATCATTATACAATGTATGTAGATTGGTATATGAATGTTATCTATCAGTTACCATGGTTACACGTAAAGAATCCATGTACGAAGGGAGAGTTAGGGGAGCTCACTGGTTGGGACTCTTGGACACACTGCGGCTGTATGCCTGACATGCCTGATGCTCCTGTGTTGGACATTACAGGTTTGTGCACAGTCGGATTAAAATAAGTCGTACGTACTTCGAACCATACGCATACGAGCCATAATGCGCAGGTGGTGTGTCCTTCCCACTTGGGCTCTCAAATGTGGTTTCAAATCGCCCTCTACTGTTGATGCTTGGAGTCGGTAAGCCGGATAAACTAAGGCATTGATGAAATCAATCAAATCAACAGTATCCGGCTCGATGCAAGCTATGTTGGCTATTTGAGGTTGAGGTTGAAGCACCAGAAAACTGTCCATTTATCGTAAGTTTACTCACATTCATCTGACATGGTTAATTGTTTATTTTGAGATTTTCTTCACACTACATTACCTTTCATCCAATGAACACTTCAACTCCACGTCATACAAATAGTTCACACTATGTTTAAGGTAGACAGAGGAAACGAACGTTTGTGCTTCTTTTAAAAAAAAAAAAAATTTCATGACAGCAAAAAAAAACCATTGTGGATTATCCAAATACATCATTGGGATAAGCTCAAATCGTGATGCGTCACAACTCCAGAAAAAAAAGTGCATTAGACAATTTCATCACCACATGCGTAAAATTGAACATCGATGGGTTAGAAGTATCTGCACTAAGTTGAGGAGACATGGTATGCATGGATTACTGCTAGCATCAAGCAATTTCACTGTTCAAGACGCACACATCTCCAGCCAATCGAATATGCATGAATCACACTCAAGTACCCATGCAGTACGTTCAGCTACACATACACGTAAGCATTCTCAGTAGGAATACAAGGACATTCAAATGATGCAGAGACTTGTAGAAAAGTCTACCTTTTTTGCCGGTCTCCAGAAATTGGCCAGGTAAGTCAGTGTGGGTCCTCAGAATTCTGTGATTGTTAAAGTAACAGTTACAACTGAGAACCTTGGCACCAGTTCATTGTAAATTAAATCTTTGTCGATGATTCGTTCACAAAATTTCACGTTAGAAAATTGTATTCTTTGCACTTCACAACCTTTCAAGTTTTGCAAAACTACTTTTGACCATAGAGGTAGCACCCACACTTCAAATTCCTTGGAGGTAATCTTCTGTGGAGTATGGATAACACTTCAAATCCCTGCACAATTCTTGTGTAGTTATATAAGCTCAGGGCAAGCAGGCAGATTCAGTCACGCTTCTCTGCTCTCCAAAGCTCCGTTTTTGTGCAGTGACTCTCTGTCAACACAGTTAAGTACACTTCATATCCCTTCGCCTAAAACTGACCTGCAGGGTTTTAAAGGATTTTACATATATTGCTCTGAATATTGACTTCCCAAAAGGAGGCTCAATAAACTAACCCTTTTTGAAGAAAAAAATAGAGGGAACATAGGGAAAACAGTGGAGATACCAACTGCAGTTCCTATCAAATTTATTGGAAACAACGCTGGGAGCTTAACCGTAACATAAACAAATTGACTTTTATGGAAGAGCACAGAAAGTGTATCTTCAAAAGCAAAACATCGGTAAAAAGGTAAAAATAAATATTGCTAGTTAAAATTTACATCATCCAGCAAAACAATTTCAAAATCTCATGTATGAGGGATCAAATCAGAACCAAACAAAACCAAACCAGTGGAAAGCCACTTCACCAGTTCTGAACACAAAGATACATAGCTTTATCAATACAGCTCAATTTAAGTACAAAAACCCCAAGGGTACTCTGTTGTACAGCAAAGATATTCTTATCCTGTGCAATTCAATCTTACAAAAAATAGCTAATGCAATGACATTGGATTTTGAACCTTTTCTCTAACTACATGTTCGTGTACACACTACATGTGCATGTATGTACATACATGTATGCATGGCTGAGAATGCGTCAGTGTACTGCACACATCCACTTAAAGATCTCAGAAAAAGACTTTTCCAACGCATTTCACGCACTTGTACACGTCCACAAATGTCACTTCAATACTGCCAGATTTTTACCCAATATCGCTGTTCAAGCACGCAAAAAAGCCATTACTGTCCGTTCTCAAACAAGCCAGGCTACGAGTCATTTGTGTGTTTCATTCGGCCAAATGGCACTTGTCAAAGCACCCAAGATTTGCAACAAACAAAAAAACAATACAGAGAATATGACAAAGTAAGTCTACAGGAGACAAGTAGTACAATAAAGGAGTCATGAAACAAAACAAACCGTAATGTAAACAAAAGCAAGGAGGTAAAAAAAAAGGAAGCAATGATAAAAAGTCAAGGTTGTTACACAATAAGACAAAAACAAGAACAAGACAATACCAAAACTAAAATGGCCAGGATTAACCAAAGAGAATTGGATGCTAAATCTATGCATTACACATCTAAAATATAAGTAATCGGTCAGAATCCATTTACGTGCGGCAGTATCACACTGTCACTGGAAGGACATTGAGCCCCAAAAAAGAAGAATATACGGATTGTTTTTAAATATATAAATAAGTTACACGTGTACAGTTAGTGACGATCTTGAAAAAAAACATGTGCATGTAAATGTACAAGTACTGTACATGCAGGTGAAGTAAAGTGGAAGGACTGATCTGTCTGCACAGATCGTCAGTGTTTTCACAACGAGAAAATGTCCCAGCCCCGATGACCAAAAAAAATCCATTCCTTCGTAAGAAGAGCGACAACATGTACGTACATTTGCTACATGTTCCTCCCTTTTGGGAATACCTCGCTTGAGAGCGAGGCTATGAGATCAATATCCGCTGTTTGTACTTTTCTATACTGCATTCCACTTGAATAGCAACATTTGCAGAATCATCGCAAGCTGTATGTTGCAGAATTACATGCATTTCTAGAACGTACTCCGCAGAACGGTCAAGTCTCCCATTTAAATATCTTATATGCAAATTTGGAGAAATTGCTGTAGGATATGCAGCGTCACAATAATACTACTAAAGGGTTTTTTTGCTCCAGGGAGGGGAGAAGTAAGTATTGATAAGGTGCCTTGCCCAAGGACATACATACCACAACCTCAGGCTGGACTCAAATCCACAATCTACAGAATTACCCACAGATCTTGAATTTGATGCTCTGAACGACGAGGCCAGACTGCTCCCAAATCCCATCAGACCCAAACTCCCATAACGTTAATGCTCGCATTCGATATCGATAAACATATTTTTCCAGTAAAAGGGTTTAAAAAAAACAGAAGATTTGACTGACCTTTTCCCGGTACTTTGTCAGCCGTTCTGTTGGCTGAGCTACTATCCTCTTGATTCTCAGTACTGGAAATCTGCAAGAAAACAGCAAGACAGGGTCAGTGACTGTGTTTACAGCCTGAGCGAGAAATTATCGACAACCGATCAAGGCGAGCTCTGGTTGGACAAATAAAATGACTAACGCAGTGGTTTAAGTTCATCAAGTCATCAAGAGGCTGACAATGAGTAGGGAAGGTGCTGTGAAGGCTAGTCCATACGTACAACTCATGTCAGACAATGATCTCAAGCCCCAATGCGGCAACTAATCAAATAAAAATAGGGCTACACTGTGAATGTCTGAATGATGTGACCGCCAGTGCTGTCATCAATTACGCTTCATAATCACATTAACCTGAAGTCTTCCGTTTTATGAATTGGGTCCGAGGTGGTATGCTGATTGCAAATGTGAGTCCTTTCATGTACTGCACGCCTACAACAGCTACATGTACAATACAACTACATGTACATGTACATGTACTTCAAAAGTTGAGAATTTAACCTGCTCAAAAATAACCTAAAAATGTGAATCACTGATACAAAAAGTGTGTATAAGATTTGTATGATTTTCTTTTCCTACACTTAAAGGTTTCAACAATCATCTGAATAATAACAAGTACTCCTAGTGAGCTCAATTTAATTATTTCAATTATGTATTTAATACTTATTAATTTGGAAAGCCAACTAAGGGTCTCCCATGGAGTCCAGTAAAGAGAAGACAATTATGAAGAAATTACAGTTTTAGACGCGAGAGGAAATCCCAGGAAACTATTCTGAGGAATACGCATGGAATCAGGTAGGGACTGAAAACCCAATCCACATATTGGCCCAGGCGGGATTCGAACCCGGGTCACAGCAGCTGAAGGTGCTACGCAATCGGACTCCCCAAAAGCTTCCACTTTATTAATTCAAGCTTGAAGCTCCAAATTATTCCTGGTACATTTATGCAAGAAAACTTCTAGGGAAAAACTAGTGCAACATGACGCCACTTCCGCAATTGTGTACAAAGTCTATGGAGAGTCTTAGTATTTCTTAACAAAATTGGAAATATTTCTCAGTCCCAGATTCATGTCTTATTATCATATATTGCAATGACTGACCTTCATTGAGATGATATCTGACAAAAAAAGTGGCGTCGGGTTGCAACATTTTTTCCGCTTCTAGAATTTGTCCAAACTTTAAAACTAGGCATTCAACCAATTACTCATTTTTAATACTTCAACAAAACTGAGATACATGAACAAAGTCACATACTGAGTTTTAAAAACTTGCCTGGCCATCTCAAATTCTTAACCCATCTGAGCACATAAAATGCCTGGCATCAGAGTTTTGAGAGGGCTGGGGTGGTTAGAGTGCAGGTGTAATCGACTGGATCCTTAGAGGAAAAATAGTTTAAAACTATATGCGGCTCTACATATGTATGTTGTGTTTGATTATACCCTCCCTCTTTGGCTGGCAATTTCAACAAGGCCAGCCCAGCAGTCAGAATAAATCAAGTGACTGTTTTTAACAGTTGAGTGTTCCAAGCTTTGACTGCAGGAGATTGAGAAGCCGGCTGTGCCTACCACTTAGCTGCTTTTGTCTGCTGATGGAATTTGACTAGTCACCCTGCCAATTGAAATTTGATGGAACTGTTGGTGACTAGCCTGTGTAGGCCTACCAGGCATATCAGGCGAACAGGACTGACTTTTTCACTGTATGTGATTGATCAAACAAAAGCAGGGTTTCAGTGCACAAAGGCATGATTTTGGAAAGTAGAAAACAAACAATGCCTGACGAGAACAAGATTTGAAATGACATGATGAAAATTAACTTTGATTGAGATGTTTTAGCTTCTTTTTTTATGGAAAAAATCGCATCAAATGAGCAAGTCACTCTCTGCAAAGGGTTGGAAAGAAATAAAATATGATAAAAGGAAAATAATCATCAGGAAAGCTGGAGGTAGGAATTGATATTCCTCTTAAAAGAGGTTACATCATAGAATGGAAGGAAACAGCAACTAGGCAAGGAGTTCCAAAGAGATACAGAACGTGGGGAAAAGCTATTAGAGTAGCTCTTTGTTGTACATCTGGGCACAGCTAGAGTGTATGGGTGAGAGGAAGCAGAGAGCCTGGTTGCACGCTCACACACCCTGACAGGAGCAACCAAGTCAAACAAACATGTCACTGAAGTTAAACTTAGAAGTTAGCTGATGTGCCAAACGAACTCAATTTACCCAGAAAATTGAAAAGGATTTGGCCCGTCCATTTTCTCCCTATAACCCTTCATCTGTTTATGCATAGTGAATCAAGACTCGTGGGAAATTTAGTACAATTTGAGCTATTGTGTGCAAGTTTAAAGAACAATAAATTAACGGCCTGTTGCATTTGTTAAAATATCAACATTCATGTACATCACGCCTTCACCTTAGTTTAGACAACCCAGAGTAATTGACTGCTACAATGTGCCCCTGACATACTTTGCAGTTTTAAATGAAGCGGTACTTGAAATGATCCAATTCATTTTTAAAATAATTTAGTTTATTCTGTTTTCTTTATTTAAAATGTGTATTAATGTCTTTATGACCACTCACGAATTTAGCCTACAGCCGTTTGCGAGTGAGCCACGCCCCTTAGACAACCCTATGGGATTTTAGTTTCATTTGTCTCAGATTTTGCGCGTTCGGCGTCCATTTGTATATCATGCAATTGGACAATATTTCACAGCTGCGTTGACGCGATTCTACCGCGATAGGTCGATTCCAGGCTATACAAGAGTTTCTACCTTTTTTTCCCCAATTTTTAATGGCATACACGAAAAAACAAGAGGAACCAGGCGATATAAGGAAAACTAGCATGCCTGTGGCCGGAGGGGTGCATCTTACAAATGTGAAGCTTAAAAACAGTATACATGTACATGTAAGACAAACTGCATGCACAATACATAATTTGTAAACCAGGCAGTGTAATTCTTGGTCATTAAAAAAAAAGCTTACCTCAGGGAGAACTAGCCAACATGTTACTGAAGTTAGAAATAGCAAACTATGGTGAACGCACAGTGTGCCAAACTGAACAACTTGACTATCAGTCCCAGCATCAGCAGGACCTACAGTATTGGTCAGTTCCCCTGTCCGTCTGATGGCAACCACATGCTATCACTACTGACTGAGGAGATCCAAAGATGAGCGTTAAATGGAATGTCCATTCAATGCCACCGGCAGTTAGCCGGTCACATCAACAACGAGGAGAGAAGAAGAAAAAAAAGGGCTCTCAAACATACTTGAGGTGTACAGTAAGGACGGCCATGCGGGAAGACAATCTGCCGCCTGGTTGCCGTGGCAACCTGCTCCGCCAATGTTTCATCCAGTCAGCCGGCAACTAAAGAGCGCGTCGTGAGGTATATTTGCCTCACCCCGGTACACGTGCGCATAGGAGAGAGGATTACACAAGAGGCAAATGGATCAGACGCAATGATCAACCTTTATTGCGTCTGGCATCCCAGTTGAGCTGAGGGGTAGATGGGCATCATGTGTTGCCATGGCGACTATCATCACACAACTGTTGTACTTACGAGTTGGACAATGGATGTCAACATTTGATGAGGCGCACTAACAGCATTATGCCTACATGTATATTCATCAGTGTATGTTGAACATGTATGTATACATGTACTGTATGAAAGTGAAACATGCATTATACATGTACTTGACTTTTGATATAATGCGAAACGACAGCCACAGCTACTCCATGTACATACACTACTTGTTCCCGTCAAACTGTTCATGTATATTTTTTTGCAAGATTATTCCTCCATAAAAAATGCCATCAGGAATTTTTTAAAAAAATTGTGATCTTTGAATATCATGGAGTGTTTGAAAGTTTTGCTGAAAGATATGAAACGCGTACATGTGGGTTTTTGTATATAAAAATAATTATCTACAAACAGAATAAATAATATTCAAAAAAGGAAATTGGATAAAAGAACAATGAATTATTTATTCTATATACAAAAAAATCTTACTGAAAGTGAATATATGAACTTTTTGTTTTTTAGAAAATATCACCAAAGCATGCTAAAGGGTGAAAAATATCTGTATTCTTAGTGCCCTCCTTTTTAGAAAAAAATGACCAATGTAGTGGCTACAAAAAATCTTGGTTCACTAATAAATTTCAGGTCAAAAAAAACAAAAACGAAAGATACTTTTTAAAATGAACCAATTTATTATCGAGTGCCGTCTTGGTAAACAAATTAATTTCTCCAGAGGCACTCGGAACAGAGTATGAAATTATAATCACCAAAAGCCAGAGCTTGAAAAGTATCTGATTTCATCGACACCGTGATTCTACCACAACTTAAAATGTAAAACTTCGGGGGAAAAGAACATCTTCAATCTGAAACAGGAAATTAAGCACTCCGAGAGTGGTTTCAAGTTGATCAGTTGCATCCATATATGCAATCTTCTTGCAGAGTCTCAATTATTGATTGAAACACTTCTTGTAAATTCCATCATAGGAGCTTGCACAGACACTTCACTCCATATGCAAAACAAACACAGTATAAGCTTCTAGAGTTAGAAGTTCTCCGCTTTCCCCTTAATCTTCATCTGTACTTAATCTTCATCTGTAAGACGTTTTGCTGTGGAAACAAACCCAGGGGAGGGGGGAATTTGTTTAATCTGCAATTTTTTTTTTCCTTTGAGAAAAAAAAGCAAGGCATATCCACTGTAACTGCTTTTATAAATTTACACCCGGGAATGAGAAGCTAATTTGTGTAAACTACATATCCCCTACAGCTTAGACGACGAGAGGTATAACACATCCTTCCAAGTCCTTGAGGAAAATCAAATCACCTGCCAATTTCGGCTGATATGAACGTGCAATTTATACGGAAAAGTGCTTGAAGTGTATGGCTTTTGATTAAAATGTATTTTGATAACGTCAAGAGATTTGGGGTCGTTGACACTGCTTGGATGTTTTGAACAGTCACCGCCCAAAAGGAATTCAGTCTGACTTGACTGACTATTTTGAATGAGCGGGGCATTAAATGCAAGAAATGTACATAAAAAGGTCTATGACCATATAGTTGTTGCGAGTGAGACAACAGTGTATACCCACTGCTTAGAACAGCACCCTCTAGTGACGACAGTTTGTTTTCTTCTTTTTATCCTTCAGAGGAGTCAGGCCAGGTGCACGCATGTTAATATCACTCTCGCATGGCAGTCACCCGGATGCGCAAGGGCTATAGTTTGCAGGTTTTTTCCTAAATATATGACCCCATGCAACTTCATAGACTGTTGAGGCTTTGTTGGTGCTGAGTGAATGGTTCCTGGTAAAAGGTTGGCAGAGTGCTGCCAAGCCCCCCAAAATATTGTCTCCGGACAAATACTGTCCTTAGGATTGCTGCATGCAGGGTGGATCTTGTCAAACAAGACAAGGCAGGCCTAGAAATGCTTGCCCCACATTTTACAAACTTCTATTTAATTGATTCACTGGAAGTCTTTTCATGCATGTGGTCTACACAATGGTCCAGGTTTCTCTCATTCATCAGCGTTACTGGGTAATCCTATCAGATAGCACTGCCCGGCTCTACACCAGTCTTCAACCAGTCTAAGTCACAAAAGACGGGGAGTCAGTCAGTCGGGGAGTCAGACAGTCAGTCAGTCAGTCTGAGAGGTACAAAAGAGGACACTACGCTGACTTTCTAGGACCAGTAAATCAGTTTCTACGCACATGTACATAGGTACATGTGTATGTGTATGCCCTTTCCAATTTTGTTTCCATTTAAGATTTTCACCTAGATTGTTTTCAAGGCAGGCAGGAAACGAATAGGGAAATGAAAAAAAAAGTTTGTCAGTAGGGACCTTGCATTAGGAAGCTCTGAGGAATCTTCTACCAGAAACCTCTGCAGGGCGTCTTCAAATGTCAGTGTAGGCGTTTAATGGAACATTAAAAAGTTGTTTGTTTCTGCACTCATGATTTGACTGCGGCAGTTCCTAGCCAAAAAGATAGCAATCCTTCTTTCTGACAAACAAAAAAAGGGGGGGAAAAGGGGGGAAAAATACTTCAAAGAAGTAGCATAAATGCTGCTTAATAGACCATTATCATGTTGCAGCCATTTGGATTTTTCCCATTCAAATCAACGTAACCAAAGCGAGGCTGGAAGGGAAAAATAGTCTGGTTCCTTTTTGCACAAAAACATTATCATTCAGTACTGTTACTGGCTACAGGGAACATGACTGAAATGGTGGCAGCATAATAAAGGTCTCTTGAAAGAACTGTGGACTGAGAAGGTACTTGTCATTTACCAAATTCATGTACAGGTAGTTCTCTTCGGGACATTTAAGAAAAAAAAATATAACCATGGAAACAGAAAAAAACCCATCAAGTTAGCTGAACAAGATACGTACATGAATGTTCTGAACTAACAGACGTCACCTGCAGAGAAAGACATCTACAAGCATGACAAGTGCATCGGATGTGAATGGCCAAGAGTACCTGGGAACACACTCGGGATCCCCAGGACTCCAACGCTCTTGGAATAACAGGAAAAGTCTATCCCTGGCCCCCTCTGCACAATCACTGCCTATAATTCAATTACACCAACAAAGCCGTCAGTTATGTTTTTCCGTCGGTGCAGTAAATTGTGACCACCAACGTCAGTGGTGCCAAGGCATCGTGAGTCCCACGAGCTGTGATATTTACAGAAAGCTCCGGCACATGACAGCACAATTGCAGGCATTACAGAGGGTCGGGCAGAGAGAGGGAGTTTTGGCTTTGTCCGATGACGTTAATTAAATAACACGTAATATAAATTATCCGTGCAATTTTGCACGACTGAGCAATGAAATCGTAAAACTGCACGTACATGTACACAACAACGACCTCTGGAATGTCTCCACGCAAACTAAGAATTTGTCTGATCACAGAGATCATAAATCTGCCTTGTACATGTAAATCACGAAAGGCTAAAAATGCAAGCCCAAAACACCAATCAGAAATTAAGATAAATGTGAGTCATCTTTTTTTATTTCTAAATGACTGCTGGGAATGTGACCTTACAGGTCATTAAGACACTCATAGTAAATCTGCGGTTGCACAATGTGACAAATATGTTTGTGAGGTCCTGAAAAAACTGGGGGAAACTCAACATGTCGGACAGGACACTCTGCCCATCTTCAGTAGACCGACGTAAATTTCAAATCTTATCTTTCAGACACCTCCATGTGGTGTATGAACACTCAGATGGGAGGCAAGCAATGCTATGAAATACTTGTCGCATGCACCACGTGTCTATATACGTTAATCATTAATAGTGTGCAGTAAGTACTGCATTTCAAAGGAGGGGGAACTTTTGTCTTTCACTTTCGCCCAATCCAAACATGCTCTGAATTCATCAAAAACACAAAACTGCAGTATGCAGTATTTTTGGCAGATAGGCCTGTAGGACTGAGCGTTTAAAACCTCTCAATTAACACTTGATGATGTCGCAAGTTTGTCAAAAGGGCAAGGAATTTGTGTAAAGAACTCCATCGTTGAATTTGGTGTTGGATGCGGGCAGGCACTAAGCACAAATGCCTAGAGAGTGGATTAACCAGTACTCAGTGGTGCTTGTCTCCTGTTTGATCGCTCTTACTGGACAATCACAGTACTGGCGGTACCTGAGCTGATTTCCTTGCAGAGAAGGTTGCTAACCATCCTCAATGTAAACAAAACCCAGATTTCTCCCTGTTCTTGTCCCTCTTGAGAGTGTAGGATTGAGTTAATCAAGGTCTCAACCTCCAATGCATGCACAGTCTTACTTGATAGTGATCGCTGAAATCATCTGAGAACAACCTGGCCAGCCTGTTATGGTTACACACGTGTATGTACATGTAGGTCACTTTTTTTCCAGGGACCTAATTCAAATACTCTGTGCATATTGATCAATTTCAATTAGCAGCAATCTGTGAGGTGAAAATTCATTAACCCTAACTCCCTACATGTAGGCCTTTTTGCTAGGATGTAGCCTCAATCCTGCAAAATCCTCCAATTGGCCTCATGGAAAAATAACATATAGCCTCAATCCTGCCAATTCCTCCATTACTTCTTGAATATGGTCCGTGGAGAGGTGACCACTGCCTGAATCCTGCAAAACCCTGGTGTTGGAGTTTGACTGGATGGGGGTTGCTAGGGTTAAGGGCACTCTACAGACACCGGTGAATTGTTTTCTACAACATAGACCAATTTCGGAAACACTATCCCTTCTATCACAAGCACCCCTTTCAATGGCAAAAGCATTGTTCTAGCTTTATCTATCAGGGAACAGTTGCTCTGTACAAAAGCTAGCACAATGCTTTTGCCATATAAGGGGCCTCAGTGAGTGTCACGTGATTATACACACCTGGATTCATCTATAATTCTAACCCTTGAGGCCATTTAGCTGAATTCAGCAGGTGTGTATGATGCACTTTACGGGCACTTTAAAGCCAAAGTCCATCAATTGCAGCTATCCAAACAGTAACTGGCGTAATTATTGTTAAAAAACATACTTGGTTGAAATATAGTAAGGAAACTAAACTCCCTGTGAAATGATTCTTTCTGGAAAGCTGTCATTTTGAAGAAATCAACAAAAGAAGGCCTTTCCAATGGTGCTTCTTAAGAAGCACCGTAGGAAATTCAAATTAGTTGTTCGTTTTGTTAATCGGCAAAGCGCGCGCACGCATTGACACGGCGCACACGCGCCCGCGGTTGCTACAATTCATTGGATCAGTGCGCGACATCGCGTAGCTGCAATCTGCTCAGTGAGAACGTATCTCGGACGCTGAATTCAGGCCCAATTCAAAACATGATTCAGCAACATTTGATTTGAAATCGAGATCCTAGAATGTTGTTTTTCTCGGAATATACAGCTAAAGCTGAGCTGAAACTTCATCAGGTTAGTTGTTCAGCACCCTTCTTTAGATCTTGAGCACTTTTGTTGCTTCAAATGAACAAAATGCACAAATTACAAATGATGGACTATACCTTTAAAGACACCTGTACAATGTCTTCTATAATGAAATGTTAACCCCGTGCCTTTTTACTTGGGACCTTGTCCTGGATTACCGAAAATCAAACACCATGCAGCAAGCCAACTGTAGGTCCCTCTTACTTCAACAACATCCATGGGGACATGGTGTAGACCTACGTGTAGCCCTATATGGGATACTGGTGATATGTGCATTGACCACGCAGTGCTGAATCCATCAAAATCATGCAAAATGTTGGATTTTGAAGGATTAAGATCAGTGGTGAATCTTTTTCTTTCTTCCCAACTCACCTCTTCTATCTCAAAAGACTCTTGGTTGGGGGTAAGACGGTGGGTAGATCTCTCAGGATTCAGCGAGGTGATTCTCTTCTCCCCAATGCTCAGTTCCACCCCTCTCTTTGGTGAACAACCCTCGGTCGGCTTGCGGTGCTCGATTCCATTCAATCTCTCCTGCGAGTCACGCTGCAAGTTTTGCTCAGGATCACCTTCACAAGCCGCTATCGTGGGAGGCTTCAGTGACTGGGCCGTTTGGCTGACTTCCAGTTCCTCGCTTACAGGAGGCAGCAAGGGCTCCGGCATCACCATGCGAGACAACCGCGACGATCGTCGGTGATCCTCTGAGAGCCTGAGGCCACCACTGCTGGGGTCTACCTCTTCATAGTCCCAGTCCGAGTCTGAGGAATCGCTGATCAGTTCACACCCTGATGAGGAATCCGCAACGGCAGAGTTACTCCCGACCTGGTTGGGCAGGGTAGAACTGCTGAGCTCATTTCTACAAGCTGGGTTGGCGGGGAGGGAAGTTGTTCCATTACTGAATGACTGGGAGGTCAGTGAGGCATCTTTGGCTTTTGAATTGAAATCGGGGGAGGTGCTGAGTCCATTTCTCAGTCTCGTGAGGTTGGCATCACCAACGTTGGTACCTGGCTGGGAGTTGAGTACTTGGGAATCAGTTCTTGGTGTCTCGCCACCTTGGATACTCAACTTGTCTGATGTGCTACTTTGTCTGTCTGAGTTTACTGTTTGTTGCCCATCTTGTGAAATGGAGCTTGTTGACTGGAACCCCCTGGTCCAGCTTGTAGCTTCTCCTACATCCGCCGGACACATAAGGTATTCCGATGAAGGGGATATAGCACACACTGATTGTTGGAGGACAGCTCCCAAGCCTCGCAAACCTCCATGGAGACTGAATCCTGTCAAAGTAAACACAGACAAAATATAGTCATTGACTAACAGCCACATATGAAAATATGAAAATATGTCATCGTGCGTTGCATACGGGCACATATGAATGCAAGCACCTTACCAGCACGTCACTTTAATGTAAGTGTTCAACAAATGGAATTCAAACCCCAAGAAATGACCCGATCCTATAATAACACGTTGTAAAATGTTTGTAACGATTGGTTTAAGTGTACTGCAAAAACAGTAATTTTTGTTAAAATCAATATATTCAAAAATTACGGTGGAAATGACGGGAGGAGGGGGGACCCACGAGGGCTCAGACCTCTGCTGGGGGGAATTACAAACCTCTGCTGGGGGAGCATATGTAAATTGGCCTTTATTCTATAGCAATTTTGGATCAATTTAATAGGATTTTGTGCACTACGGGACCAACTGTACAAGGCTGTCTTGTCTTGTTATTGAACAGTTGCATGGACTAAAACTGATGGACAATTTTTTTGTCTTTTTTTTTTTTTGCTGCTGTGTAAATACATGTACATGTAATTCCTAATGCACAATGCACATTCTTATACACTGTGGAATTTGATTGTCTCTCCATCTTAAAAAAACATAAACTAGACCTCTCCGAAATTCGGTAATTTACGCCTGATCTGGTTCAGAAACCCAAGCACACTACTGATCAGGCTGATCCTCATGATGCTGAGCACGAGAGACTAACAAGTACATTTACAAGTCCGAAGGCGCAACGGACAAAACATCCAGACTTGCCAGTCAAAATGCAACACGGTCCCCTGGAAGAACTGAGGAGGTTGCCGAGTGGTCTTCAACACTGTAACACCAGCCATTAAAAGGAAAAAAAATAGAATCACGTCTTTTGCGTCACAGTCCGTTTGCAAATCAGGAGCGGGGAGTGTCCTCAAAGGACCTTTTCGACAAGTACGAGACTCCCTTAAGGGATGTTTGTATTAGGCAAACAGTCTGCATAGAAGCTATGTCTTGACAACACCCCCCCCCCCCTTCACCAAATGCAAACACATTAATCAGGGGCTATCAAACAAAGGCCCGGGAAACTGATTACTTAAGGAAAATTTAAGGCCGCTTTCCTTCCTGAGTTTAATTATGTGCACGAACATGGACCACAGAGGAAATGCCAGGATATAAAGTGTGCATATCATGAAGAGATAGTCAGCACTGCCATATTGCAAACAGAAAACAAGCATAAAAAAATAATATACACAACCAATTTAAGAAAAGGAATTACTGAACAATACTTAGTGCTTCATCAAAATTCCCAAATTGCATTTTATCCAAACGTATCCTTTAGTTTTGTGTATTATCAATTTTTCATCACATAAAACTATGTTAAAAATGGCATAATGAAGATCCAATTTTAAACGCTGTGTAAAATAAAACAGCCTTTGATAAAAAAAAAAAATTGTTTTAAATAGCCCAAGAGTATTAATCCATATCAAAAAACCTCAATATCACTATTTTTATTGGAAACTTGTTTATTTTGATACTGTATTGACTGCTGCAGATGAAATAACACAGCTGACAGAAAATAAACTGTGACAATAAACGCACACAAGTGAACGCAGCTTGCTCTCAGGAATGACGTATGTAGAATCAAAAATAGCTCCGATAATAACCACCATTGATTGGAACGTTATGATAGCCGTGCAAACAAATAAACTTCCACTGGAATTTATGAAGACCTAAATGATCGGTAGTCTGTCGGTGCACACACTTAATTTAATAAACAAATTCAACAAAATAAAATAAAAATGAATTGATGGTTATCCAATTACTTTTTCTATTAGGAAGTACGGAGTGATTGTTCCATGAACACAAAATGATTTGGCAGTAATAATTCCCACATTTTGAAACGTCTTGAGTGGTCAAGTGAATGTTTATGAATGCTGAGCAAATATTACTCTTTACGAACCCTCCCTCTCTGGCTGGCAAATTCAGCTACGCCACCACGGCAGCCGAAATCAATCAAGTAACTGACCCGTAAACATAGGCCTAGCCGGCGGGGGGTTAAGGGGGTATTTACCCCCCCCCCCCCCAAATATTTTGTAAAGAATGCCATTTTCCTTTCAAATGCCCTTTTTTCCACTAGCGCTCCCCCCCCCCAATAATTTGTAAAGAATGTAATTTTTGGAGAAGTGCCCTTTTTTGAGCAAGTGCCCTTTTTAAAAAGAAGTGGTGCCCTTTTTTGTGCTATCAGCCGTTCCAGGTGCCTTTTTTTGAATTTCACACATGTAGTGTGCATAATCGTTTGTTTTGAACAGCCCCCCCTCCCCCCCCCCCCCCCCCCCCCCATTTTTAATTTTACGGAGGCCAAGTGTGTCCGGAGAAAAAAAACGTGTCTACATTTCACCTTGGATGTGCAAGTGCCCTTTTCAAGAAATTTGTTCCCCTCCCCAATAAAAATGAAAGATCTCCCTTGTCAATTTGATATGCCTTGACTGGAGGTGATTGATATGCCAGCTGTACCTACCATTTACCTCTTTGTCCGTTCATGGAATCTGACTAGTCACAGTAATTACATGGATGTGATCCGACTGGTTTTGTTTTTTTACTAGCCTGTATACAAGTGCATGGCAGGGGAATTGGTAGAAAAAAATTGAGTGTCTACAGTGTATATGAATGATCAAACAACCGGAAAGGACTAATAAGACATGACAAAGTCGTGAATAAGTCAGGCCTATGATAATATCTTCAGATTCAGTGGAAGATTGGCTTCGGTGAAGTAATTACATGTAACATGAATCTAGCGGAAATCCTAGGAAATCCTAGCTATAATGTACACAGAGCTTATTACACAAAATGCCCCGGGGGCAATTCCCTGGAATTACGTGTATAACCTCACTGAAAAAAACATAAGATTGTTGATTTATGAGTAGATTCAATTCTTGTTTAATATACATGTACTTATAACAAATGAATTTTTGTATGTTTAATAAACAATGTTGAATAAATGTTTTGCAAAAACAAAAGAAGCTTAAATCTGTATTTTATTGAAATATAGATTATTTCTTACAGTAGTCAACAGTTCAGCTTTTACTTTTAACTGAAAAAAAATTATTATTTAAGGCCAAAAAAAAAAAGTCTCCGGTTTCTGGTATGCGCGCGCGTCGCCGCAGCCATGCGCGTCGGCAAAATGAAAAAGGTTTTTTTTTCAATACAAGATGATGTCTCAAAACCGCCAAACTCACTGGTTTGACTGGAATTCTGCTGCTGCACAATTTTAACGTGTTTTTAGATGGGGTTATGATCGAGAATAAGCTTTATGTGGCCTCTCTGGACTCCCATATATTTGCACTACGTTTAGTCGGGCACCATTTGCAGTCATCAGCCGACATTTGAAGCCAAAAAAAAAAAAAAAAAACAGGTAAAAAAAAAAAAAAAGCCGCGTCGCCGCACCACTTTTGGGGCAAGCTCCATACCAGAAACCGGAGACTTTTTTTTTTTGGCCTAAGTACAATTTTTTTTTTTAATTTGTCCAAGTAGGTCTGACACCATAGTGTTTATCAAGACAATTTCTGCTACAGCAGCACTGTTGAATGAATATTTTTTTTTATCAAATCATTGTAGCAACAAACTGATACATTTTGTCGTACATGTAATTTGAAATCCACTTTACATGACTACAACGATCATCAAGCACACTGATGAATAAATTATCCAAAATGTATGTCCAACACTGTGGAAGTCTGCCCCTGAGCACCTTCGGTAGACACCTTTCCTAATCCTAAAAATAAATCCTCCCGTGTGAAGAAAGCTCATTCTATAATCTTTCACATGGCATCGGCATCAATGATCAAGCAAGCCCAATACCAAATACATAATTCTGCCTGGTCTAGGTCTCACAGTGCACCTAGGTTTTTGTTTTAATAAGCGAAAAAAATGTGCTTTTGGGAGGTTTTAAACACTCTGTTTAAGACCAGTTGGAGTCTGGATGCTGATAACTACCCGAGCTGAAGGCGAGGGTAATTATCAGCATCCAGACTCCAGTCAGTCTGAAATATAGTGTTTAATACTGACCAAGCACATATTTATTCCCATTCATAAATACCTTTACGGTCAAAAAATCAATCATTCAGTCAAATTTCTCTTTTCAGTTAAACAATTCTCTTCAGGTTTTTCAAAACACCCCTCTAGCTATACGGAATGTCCAGCTTGCGAATAAGTCGTAAATAATCCTTTTATGGAGATTGGCGCGTATTGCACGTACTGCGCGATGGCGCGCAGAATGCAGCTGTGGCGGTGCGTTTTGAATTTAGGACTATGAAATACTGTTTTACTGGTAGTATTGCGCATGCCTACTTGAGGATTGTGAACGTTCAACTAATAAAACGGTAAAAGGCACTGGATTTCATAGGAGTCCAAATTCATGTGACACTGGAAAAGTGTTTAAGACCAGCCAGCCAGTCTTTATCAACCATTTAAAACCGGCTACCTGATAGGCTCTCGACCAATAGAAATGGGTAAACTGTCTTAGGTATTTATAAATAGGTTTTTATAATCATAACATGCCAAAATACAGGCATTTATATGTTTTTAGGGTGCAATTTTCAGCACGAGGTAGCAGAAATACGGCAAATTGTGTTTTCAGTCGACTTCTATAATTTACATACGTGTACATGTATGTGCACGCTGAGCTTCCAACAGACAGTCAGACCACCTAGACACCATGCAAACTGCTCCATTCCGAAGCAATTGTAAAAACAAATATCTCAGCAAGGTACACCTATATTGACAGTGCGGTTATTTTGACATGATGATAACTTTCTAACTGTCGGCCATATTGATTTTTAACTTTTCTTTTAAAATTTGTTAAAATGACATGGCAGAATAAAGGTTTTTATAGGACATAGGTTAGTTTAAATAAACATCAGGATCCCAAGTTTAAATATAGGTTTTATGAGTTTAATAGGTTATATAGGTTATAAAGGTTTCGTTGTATGGCCTGCTGGTCTTTACCTGAGCTTCAATGCAACAA